AGCCTCATATATCCTTATAAATGGATAGCACTAAGTTCTGAGCTGTAATGCATTCTATTAATTTATTAATTCATTAATTTATTAATTTACTAACTTAAATTAGATAATTTATTTAATTCGGGAAGTTCACAAGAGACACTGTTCTGCTTTTCCCCCACTGTTCTGCTTTTCTCTCTTTGGAGTATTCCTTACAAATCCACTCCTCAATCTAACCAGTCACTATGTGAATATCCCAGCAAAACCAATCTACAAAATTGAATTCTCCAGCTAAAGCTCACAGATACTATGATTAGAAAGATAATGTCTACTGATATAACAGCTAAAAGAAACTGGAAAATCTCAAGTGATATTCTGAATGAAAGGGATTTTACTTTCAGTATATCTGGAACTTGATATCCATCAAGAAATATGCCAATGGCATGATGTACACATACAGTATGCAGTGGACAGGTTCTTTTCACATTTATGCACTAAATGTGAAAGAAATCTAAATATCAATTGTAGCCAGGACTATTTTCCTGTGAGAATTTTTTTTTTTGTATATGGAAAGAGAAATAAAGTGATTTTATACTTAAACAACAGATACACACATTATTAAAAATTTTGTTTATGTAGTATTTTCTTCCAATCTCAACTTCAAGCAACCAGTGAAATTTTAATTTCTCTTAGACTACTCTTCAGTCCTGCACTTTTGTTGTGTTCTGTGAGACAATTTTATTCCTCAAATGTAATTGCAAAAGTCATTGTATCTAGATGCATAGTTCTGTGCAGGGGTTTCTAAAGTAACACTGATTCTTTAAATACTGCATATATAAGTAATTTTTTCCATATCTATAGGTCCCAGGAGTGTTTAGAAAATCGGATCCTTAGGTTTCACATTTGCATTTTCTTAAATGTAGACTCATAGTCATGCTTTTATGTTGTTTAAATTTTAAAAACATTTACAGTAGCACTAATATTTCATATTCCTTAAGGTTTATTTTCAGTGAAATTATTCATCCTTGTAAAGTAATCATGGCTGAAAGGCAAGTCAAATACTGCTACTGCTTAGTTAAGTTTTAAATTCAATCTTAACAGAACTCAATGTTATATCTCCTAATTCTATTCTTATTCTCATGATGATACATTATTTTTTCATGACATGATTATACTTTAGATTTCAATATTTTTAAATCTCATAAAATGATAAAGCTAAAATGTGCTGGAAGACATACAATTCCACTGCTCCATTTACAAGAAAACAGTTATGTTTCAATGGCAAATTCATGCAAAATGCCCTTAACAGAGTGTGAAATGTAGAAATTACTGTTTTTCCAAATTCATAAAATCCCTTTGGCTTCACATTTAATGGGAACTCTGACAGACTGCTGTAGAAACTAAAGAAATAGAAATTCTAATAAATCTGGACTAAAAAGAATAACAAAGAAACAATGGATAGAAACAATTATGCTTTCATTGAATATATAACTTGTAAAGAAGCCGAAAGCAATTAAAAAAAAATACTTCTTTTTAATGAAAAAATTTGGCCCCCTAGGGACTGTGAAAGATACTACTGACTCTTTTTTAACATTCTACCTTTCTACAGCCACTTGTAAAATGTTACAGCCCCTGCTTTCCTGGGCAAGACAAGTGCTGCTGTGCTCCTAGTCAAGTCCACCTAATTTCCATCCATTCCACAGTAGGAATCTGACATATGGAGAGCTCTTTACAGAGCTGGCAAACAGCAAGCAAGCAATTGCTGGAGAGACAATAAAAGGAATCTTTCTTCTAAAGGCAGGGTAATGCTCCGAGAGCTCTTCATGGATCCGCATTTCCAAGTGCATACTCAGTATTGCTCTTTAGTAAGCACAGTATTATGATATAGTTGATAATGTATTCCCAAAAAGGTTTCTAGAGTCCAACATTAGTTTTCTTCTAGATAATTTTACTTCTAGATTTACTATTGGATTCTTAGTGTTTTTTGGCAAGCTTTACCACTGTTTCCTGCTTCAAATGGCATCTTTAGATAGAATCATAAGGCTAGGTTTTTGTGAATGACCGCTGTCAAGAGTTCAGACTTCATTTCTGAAATCATGTCCTAAGTTCCCATCCCTTTGCTTCCCAAGTTGGTTTTTTTGGTTGTTTTTTTTTTTGTTTGTTTGTTTTTTTGTTATAATTTAATTGTTGCTATTACATTTAATTTATGTATTTCCATATACCTCCTCTGAAATATGTGCAAACCTGCCTAATTCTCTCTCAGAGAATTAGGTCCTCAGTAGATAACTCAGATCTCTTGCTTTGACCATCATAGGCACCTTTCATTTTACGTCTTGAACTCATTGTTGAACTGGCAGACCAGAGCACCAGAAAGTCACCATCAATGTGCATGTAGATGCATTTTGGAGTGTAGATCAACAACAGATGATACTGCTGTCCAAGAAGGGAAAATGGCAGGTTATGAACTGTATGAAGGTGGATGGAACACACATGATGTGCTAGCTGCCAGCAAGGAGGATGGAAAAATTCCATAATTTTTTTGTCATATTCATGTCTCCTGTGTGTGATGGGTTGACCCTGGCTGGATACCACTTGACCATCACAGCCACTCTATCCCTCACCTGTGAAATTGGACAGGGGAGAGAATGTGTAAAAAAAGGCTCATGATTGAGATAAGGACGGGGAGAGGTTCCTGCATCAATTATCATCATGGGCAAAATAGACTCAGCTTGAGGAAATTATTGAATATATTATCAGCCAAAATCAGAGCAGGATAATGAGAAGTAAAACAAGTCTTAAAAACACCTTCCCACCACTTGTCCTTCCCTCCCAGCTTTACCCCCATCCCTCACAGGGAGACAGGGAATGGTGATAATGGTCACAGAATTACAGAATCACTGGGTTGGAAGAGACCTTCAAGATCATTGAGTCCAACCCATGCCCTAACACCACTTCAACTAAACCATGGCACCAAGTGCCACACTCAATCTTTTTTTAAACACATCCAGGGATGGTGACTCTATCACTACCCCAGGCAGATAATTTCAGTACTTTATCAGTCTTCCAGTTAAAACCTTTTCCTAACATCCATTTCCCTTGGCACAGCTTGAGTTTGTGTCCTCTCCTTCTGTCAGTTGCTGCCTGGAGAAAGAGACCAACCTCCCCCTGACCACAAACACCTTTCAGGAGTTGTAGGGAGTGATTAGGTCACCTCTGAGTCTCCTTTTCTCCAGGCTAAACAACTCCAGCTCCCTCAGCTGTTCCTCACAGGGTTTGTGTTCTCAGCCCCTCACCAGCCTCGTTGCCTCCTCTGGACATGTTCAAGTGTCCCAGCGTCCTTCCCAAACTGAGGAGCCAGAACTGGACACAGCACTCCAGGTGTGCCCTTACCAGTGCTGAGTACAGGGGGAGAATGACCTCCCTGCTCCTGCTGGCCATATCCTGATCCAGGCCAGGGGCCATTGGCCTTCTTGGCCACCAGGGCACAGGGCTGGCTCATGTCCAGCTGCTGTCACCAGAACCCCCAGGTTCCTTTCTGCCTGGGCACTGTCCAGACATGCCGTCCCCTGCCTATCAACAGATCAACACTCCCAGCTTAGTGTCATCTGCGAATTTACTAATGAAGGACTCAATTACCTCACCCATGCCATCAATAAAAATATTGAACAGGACTGGCCCCAGCACAGCCCCCTGAGGGACACCACTGGTCACTGACCCCCAGCTGGATGCAGCACTGTTCACCACCACTCTCTGGGCCATCCAGCCAGTTCCTAACCCAGCACAGAGTGCTCCTGTCCAAACTGAGGGCTGACAGCTTTTCCAGGGGTGTGCTGTGGGGGACAGTGTCAAAGGCCTTGCTGAAGTCCAAATAGACACATCCACAGCCCTTCCTTCACCAGGTGGGTCACCTGGTCAAAAAATGAGCTCATCACATGTTGTTCCTCGGGGAGTGGAGTCCTTCCCCTGCTCCAGTGCAGAGTCTGTCCCATGGGAGATACTTCTCCATGAACTACACCAAAGTGAGTTCATCCACGGGCAACAGTTCTCCATGAAGTTCTCCAGCATGGGTCACCCTAGTTCTTCAAGAATAGGCTACTTCAGCATGGTTCCCCCACAGCATCACAAGTCCTACCAGGAAACCTACTCTGGCATGGGCTCCTTGAATGGGTCTGCAGGTCCCTGCCAGGAGCCTGTTCCATCACGGGCTTCCCATGGGGTCAAAACCCTCTCTCAACATCCATCTGCTATGCTGTGTGCCTCTTCCATGGGCTGCAGGTGGATCTCTGGATCCCCATGGTCTCCCATGTCTACCAGGCACTGCTGCATCTCCACAGGCTGCACCATGGGCTGCAGGAGAATCTTAGCTCTGGCTCCTGGAGCACCTCCTGCCTCTCCTTCTCCACTAATCTTGATGTCTGCAGGGCTGTTCCTCTCACATCCTCATCCCACTCTCCTCTGGCCACAAATACATCTGCACAATAACTTGTTTATTATATTTATTATATGTTATGCACAATTTACTTATTATATTATTAAATATGTTATCACAGAAGGCTACTGTCCCTGATGGGCTCACTTAGCCAGCAGTGGGTCCTTCCTGGAGCCATCTGGGATTGGCTCTGTCAGACATGGGAGAAGCTTCTGGCATCTTCTTACAGAAGCCACCCCGTAGCAGCCTCACTACCAAAACCTGGGTGTGCAAACCCAATACACTGTGCTCACAATCTGAACATAAAATATTGATCCCCATCACGGTCCTCAATTGTTGCCTGTGGCTTCTGTAATGCTGACTTCACTGTTCCTTCAGAAGCATAACTTTCTCAGTCACAACAATGATTTTATGCAGATGGAAAAAGGACTATTAGCACTCAACAAAAAAGCTGAGTTTGAAATTAATGTACTGTCAGAATATGAGACTCGTTAGTTTACAAGTGAAGAAAGCAAATTATGAAATTGTCTTGCTTTTATTTTTATAAATTTATTACTTCATCAAATTTTATACCTTTTTTTTTTCTTTCCTTTAGCTATGGTTTTTCTGAGCAATTTGGAACCAAATACAACATATGAAATCAAAGTGGCTGCTGTAAATGGGAAAGGACAAGGAGAGTACAGCAAAACTGAGATCTTTCAGACCTTACCTGTCCGTGAGTAATACTTGTGCCGTTAAATGAAAATTATTATTATAATAATATCTCTAGATTTGAATTATAATTCACTGTGGATCATGTTTCAGGTTTATAATCCACTCCCCAGTGTATTACATCAGTCTTTATATTGTTTCTCAGAAATCATGTTTTCTTATTCCATCCCTTTCAAGAAGTATGAGGGAACTTAAATTGGAGAATTTATCCCATTATCTTAAATTTTTGAGAATCAGAAGAGTCTTTATTTGATATAATGGAGCAAAAACCATTATATCAAATAATGATATATATGATACTGGAATAAGGAATTTTTCTCATTAACACTCAGGATATTAGCCACATCTAAGAGAAGTGAATCAGCCATTTCTGGAGACATTTCTTCACCGAACTATCGTGCTATTTTTCTGCAATTATCAAGCCCTCAAACAGAAATCTTAAGCTATAAAAGAAATTATGAGAATGAATTGTTTTAACTATGACTGCATGCAAATGAGAAATTCTATGAAACCAATTCTGTATTTGCAGTAACAAGATGCCAAAGATCCAGATTAAAATATTAAGGGCAAATAAAAAATATTTTTCTCTAATTATCTTTAAATAGAAACAACAGTAAATAAATTAAAAACACAGAGAGAAGAAAAGCAAAGGAACTACCAGATGGCAGTGTGTAGCAATCAAACAGACATGTGGAAATACATCAGCAGCTACTGCCAGACCAGTCTGTCATAAATCTGTTGCAACTGAACTGTTTCCTTAATGGGGCATTACTCAGTGTACCTAATACTGGCCCTAAGGGAATGAACAATAAAAGTAATGTAACTACAAAGAACAGAAAATATTTCTGCGAGATTAGATTAGATTAGATTTATTAGTGTATTATATTTATTATATTATATTATATTATATTACATTACATTACATTATACATTTCTTCTGTCCCAAAACGGTAACTTGGCAGCTTCCAAATATCTTTTTCATTGAAGCATACATATATTCTAAATATATTCCAGGACAGAAAAAATATTTTCCTATTACTTCTATCAATATACTTGATGGAAAAATGACAGCAACTGTAAGACAGGCTAGATAAGTTTTACATTGTGATCTAAGTAAGTTTATCCTTACTTTAATATGTGCTAAACACAAATATTACAATTATTTCCAAAGGAACAGTATCTCTCTGGATAAATGCACATTTACAGATATTTTGAAAATAAGACACTTCAGTATATGTTCATTTAGGATCTCCTTTAAACAAATGTAATAGGCATTGCATATAGAAAAGATAATCTGTGAATTTTTGGCTAGGAAAGGATCTTAAAGTGGCTATTAATCTTTTGATTGTATGTTTAAGACTACCTTTACCTTCTCATTATGACTAAGACATTTCGTTTTAGCTTTGAAAGTATTATTCTTTATATTTACTCTTGAAATTGACTTCTCTAAGAAGTTATTTTTGGATAACTTTTTATCTAATTTCACTTGGTACATTTTTTGGAGAGTAAATTTATTTTAAATTTTAAAAGTATTTCAAATTAGAAATCTCACATAATATTAAAGGTTATGCTCAAGTTATGGATGCTTACCTATAAGAGAGCATCTCTTAAACTTCAATATGAGTAGCAGGTTACCAACTTTGCTGAACTGATGACTAAATGATTTTGGAAAGAAATTCCATTTAAAAGTGTTGGAAGTCAGAAGGTCTCAAAGAAATTAATATTTCTTTCATACTTCACAAAATTTTGTTTCTTGGTATGAGGAACCTACATTAAAACATATTTCAAGCATAGTATTTAACATTCTTATACAGGCTGTTTTGTAGTGCCTGGAATGATCGTATTGATTTTAAGATTTTGATTAATATTATTATGGACAAGTTCCTAGATGTAATTAATAAGTCATCTCACTGCTGAATTTTTTTTATTATTATTGTGTATTTTTTGTTTTCTTATTTATTTAAATATTTATTTAAATTTTATTTAAATATTTATGAAATATTTCTATTTAGGGGAGCCAAGCCCCCCTTCAATTCATGGACAACCAGAGAGTGGCAAGAGTTTTAAACTTAGCATAACTAAACAAGATGATGGAGGTGCCCCCATACTGGAATATATTGTCAAATACAGAAGTGTAAGTATTTCACTTAATCAAAATAAGTGAATCATGCTGGTTAATATCTGCTTTTAATGCAGAGAAAATTGTTGGTATTATTTGAAATTTACCAAAGTGGTTTGCATTCCAGAATTTTTTTTTTTTTAAAAAGATATAGTTTGTTTTCTCTTGTAACTAGGTTGCAGATGCCAGATTATAAAATAAAACTTGAAAAAAACCCCAGAACACTCATTTCTTCTTCAAGGTATACTGAAAATTCATCTTTTCAAGAGTACTATATTATTTTTCAGTTTCATAGTAAAAATGGGACATTAGTGTACAGCTTTTAAAAACACAGTAAATTAGCAAACATTAAAATTACACACTTAAAGGTTGCTTGAACAGAAAATTTTAAATCTATTATAAATGCATCTATATTGATACAATGCTCTATTGCAGTGCTCCATATTAATTGTAAATTACTTTAATTACCTGGCCATATTTCCTATCTTCTGCATGAATTCCAAGTCTCATCTTACAAAAGCCAAATAATTGGCTCATTGTTGGGAATTTCATGAATTTCAGAGCACGTCTGTTCTTAGACAGTCATCAAGTGGAGTTTTTGGCATTCTGTCATCTAGACAGCCTTGTTTTTGTGTTCTCTCATCAAATCTGTAAGTTTAGAAAGCAGGCTTTCCTCCAGCATATAATCTATTAAAAAAAAAAAAAAAAGTTGGGTGGGGTTTTATTATTATTATTAATAATAATAATAATAATAATGTAGCTAAAAGACATTTTCTGCTGTACTATGTTTATAAATTATTGGACTGAAGAGGTAACTGCTGGCAAAAGGGATGTGTTTAATCCCAAAGTGTGCATTTTAAAAAAAATTCCTTTTATCTGATTAGGCCCATTTTACCAAGGTGTTACAGGAGAATTTCACGTCCATTAAGAGTCTAGAAAATTGTGACTGTAATATTGTATATCTAAGCATGTTAAATGGAAGGTAGTATGGACTGTATTTATTCACACAAAGAAGAAATTTTTGAGAAATAAACTATAGAATCTGTTGCAATCTTACCAAAATAGGACAGTTCCTTAACTTGGTTTTTGTCACATTTCCTGAGGTTTGCTATAATGTAACTTTGATTACAGTCCATGGATTATCCGAGTGCTAAACCTGGTATGTAAGATTATTCTCCTATGCTAAATATAACCAAAGAAGATCAATAGCTCCAAATTAATTGAGAAATATTTGGTTGCACTCTTAAGGTTAGTCTGAGGGAATGACCAGAAGTTACTCTGCTATCACTGATCCCGTAATCTTAGTTGACCTTCTTAAATGCCTATCCATCCAATGGATACAGCTGACATAAAAGAAAAGTAATTGGAAAGATGACAAGGGTAGTAAAATATGGAATACAAGATAAAAATAGTGTTTTGTGAGATTGAACTTCCTAGTTAGATTACAATGTCTTTAAGTATTTACCACTGAGTACAAAATAAACTCTTTGGATGAAATGCATTCGAGCAACATATGGAATTTAATCTGTTTCTGTGATTAAAATAAACTACATTCCTTTGGTTCTACCCCAAAAATTTTTGGAAATCTGATTTTGATCTCATGTATTGACTAAGGTACAATATTATAGTATAAAGGATTACTTTTCTTGTGTGTTGTTGGAAGGAAAATGTGCAGTTTAAGCAGTAACTGAAAACTTAAAAGGTTACTGAAGAAGATAGCTTTTCCTTAGACCTCGAATCCTTAACTCCTTGAGCCTCCGGTTGAAAAAGTAATTTGACTAAATTAAAGGCCTTTCTACAACAAAAGAAGCAGAATAATTTCTGGTGCTTTAATCAGAAAGAATGAATGCTATTTAAAGTACATAATTATGTGTTATCTGTTGACTGCTTCTCTTCCCCATTGGTCATGTTTAATTAGCTTTCCTGGAACTCTTGCCAGCCTCATTATTAGCACCTGGACCAATGTATTTGGTTTCAGACTTGAATGTTTGAAGAGCATGTTTAATAACAATCTATACATCAATAGCTTTTTCTTCAAAAAGTTAATTTGCCCATGTTTAAGTTTTATACAGGTTTTCTTTTTTTTTTTTTTTTTAAGTGGGGGAAGGACAGCCTTTAAGATATTAAAGCAATATTACATCCTGGTGAAGGGCAATCAGTAAGTTTTTTTCTGGCAATCATATATTTCATTCTGTTGAATATTCCTTTTCTAGCATCAGTTTCTTCATATTATGGGCAGGAATTATTGACAACAATCAGATAATAAGCAGCTTGACATTTTCTTCTGTATTCCAGAGTATTAGGCACTGTGCAATTTTTATGATTTAGTAGCCTCATTTTTTTTTCATGCTGTTGCACTAAGACAGTTGAGACAACTTAACAAAGCTTCACTGATGGAGTCCAATGCTGATGGCACACATAAGCTTCAAAGTTACCTTAGGAAAGAATAGGAAGGGAGACAGTAAAGCAAGGGAAAATTGTTTCCCAGGAATCATCTGGAAAGAGGAATGGTGGGAATTCCCTAGGGAAGCATCCTGTCTGTTGCCAGAGATGACCAGCCAACCACACTTCTCACAGGAACTCTTTAATAATTTTTCATGGGGGCCAACTCCAGTCTCCCTTTGGTTCTTCTGCTGATGGTGCTTCCAAAGTTGGCTGGGAGACACATGATGACGTGCTGGTGTTTCACAATAGGTGTCAAGCTTTATCCATGCAAATTATGGAAATGTGTACATGATTTGTGTTCTAATCCCTCTTTTTGCATTTCTAAACTAATAGTAAATCAAATGTGACATTATTGAGCTCTGCTTAGGGTAAAGTACTTGAAAACACAACATAGCTGAAATAACAGCTATAATGAAAGGCATAGAAGTTCCTTTTTGTTGTTTTTAATTTGTTTTGTTTTGTTTTGTTTTTATTTTACTTCTTTAAGAAGACACATGCAGACCCTGGAAGATTTCATCTGTTTGTGTTTAGAACACACCTTGCTTTCCAAATACATTATTTCTCTTTCGCCTAACTTGTGTTTGTCACTCTTCAAAAAAGTTTTCTGTCTTTGAACTCAGGGCTTGGACTTTGTTACCTTTATCTCAATTCACCCATTTGGTTTCAGTTTCAACTAAATTATGGTATCTCTGGCATAGCATATGCAGGTGTCCTGTTATATTTCAGCTCATTCATTATTTTTCACCCAAACAAACTGTGGAACACCGGCCTTTTCACTTGTTCTTCTGTCTGCAGAAGTGGAGCCTCATTCTATTCATCACATAGATTTTTGCAGTTTGTTTTCAAAATACTCATATCTCTGTTTGCAATGCTGCCTTTTTCTGCTGGAACTGTATTAGCCTGAGTATTTAGTTTTCAATTCAGCATACTGTTTTGGCTTTCTGTGTTTCTGAAACCCTTTGGAATTCCCTAGTATATTCACATGGTATCTGTGCACAATTATGAGATTATGTAGGGAATGAAACTTCTGATTCACATTGATATTCTTGGGAATTTAGCTGTATTTTTTCTAACTCCTCCCATACCTCACCAATATAAACAGCCATTAAAATACTGTTCTACACAATGCTGCTATTCCTAATATCACCAAGGAGCATTTTCATATGCATATTGCAATCAGTATTAGCTGCTTCTATTTCAGCAGTGCTGTGCAAAAATATATCTTGTAAAAGTAATTTAGTATAGTGACAATGTGAGTGGATTCACTCAGGGTCAAGTGATTGCAATAGAAAGTATCCATCAGGATGTGGAAAGATACCCTTTACAGAAAATATTATTTTCACTGTATGATGAACAAATTTTTTTTACTCCAGTGTATGTGGTTTTTTCATGATTTGTAATGGATCTACCATTCTGATATTTTCCATTAGTCTATCACCACAACAAACTTTCACTTGGATGAAAATATTCCAGAAACAGGTTTTGTTGGATTTTAATCATTCTAAGAACTAACATGTGACAATTCCAATGCTAATGCAGAAAAAGCAAGATAGTTTATGAAAAGGTAAAGTCAGTATGGAAAAATCTTCAGGCTCAGGGCTGAAACAAGTAAATTATTGCAGCAGTGCACACAAGAGAATTTAGTGTGTCCTTTATTTTCTGAAGATGGGACAAAAAAAAGTAAATCATAAGAAACATGATTTGTCCCTGAACTCTCTAAATTAGATGCTGTTTTCTCTGAAACCTGTATCAATAAAGAGCAAAATGGTTCAGCAAAGAGCCTCAATATAAGATGCTGAGTAGTGTGCAGCTAAAAAGTTATACTTACAGGTATTGTAAGTTTGTTTGGGTTTAATTTTTCCAGTATGGTTTACATCCACTGATGGGTCTGTGTAGCTGTATGGGTCGGATGGCAAGGATTTGTCTCTCAAGAGATATTTTAGCCATGTTATTGTATCTCAGTGTCTCATAAGAGTAGGACTGCATGTATTCTTACTGACTGTTATTGGTTGTCCTTTGAAGATGACTTTTTTGTTTGACTATATATATTGTTTTATTCTGCTACTTATTAGTAATCGTGTCATTTCTACTTGTATAAAAAAATAAGTAAATGCATTATGTACTCAGAGTAGCGATTGCAAAGGTAAGAACTCAAGGTTTATGAATGCCAAAATTAAGTTTTCAACCTAAGTCTTCATTTGTTCCCTTTGCCTTAATTAACTTAATTAACTATGGGAAACTATGAGAATCCTTTTCGTCTAGAACACAGTTTTAAAGATTTGCGTGTATCCACTCACAGGTGTAGACATAGTACTTGATACTTTCCCAGTGTTTTTTAAATTCTTGCATACAACCTGGTTTGTGAAATGTTCCTGTACTGTTACAATTAGTGTATATTTTCATTAAATAACTAATGTATGATATAAACACAACTAGACTCATGAAAAATTTAAGACTGGGTTTAATGGCAAGTTTCTTTGAATGAATATTGAGAAAAATGTAATTGAATTATCTGTATAAAATAAACTTCTTACATAATTTATTTTTAGAATTTTATTATTGAAGTGATTAGCCTGCTGCTCTATAAAATAAAAAACAGTATTTGAGGAAAGAATAAATTGAAGCCATGAAGTTTAAAAGGATTGACCACAAAATTCCTTAAATCCACATTGTGGAAACATGATAAGGAGTAGTCAAAATTACAAAAGGCCTAAGTACTCAGAACTTCAAAATTAGATTATTTCAGTGTTCATAACCTCTGTAAAGGCAACTCCATATTTTTGTGCATCCTGTAGATACAGACTTTAGACAAATATTACCAGAGTTTGGGAGAATTAAAACAAATATTTTCATCTTCACAGAAAGATAAGGAAGACCAGTGGCTAGAGAAAAAAGTTCAGGGTAGTAGAGACCACATCATCTTAGAGCATCTTCAGTGGACGATGGGTTACGAAGTACAAATTACAGCTGCCAACAGACTGGGTTATTCTGAACCAACATTGTATGAATTCAGCATGCCACCAAAGCCCAACATTATTGCTGGTAAGTTAATTTAATTATGTTTTCTCTCTATGAATTATTTCCAATTCATAGTACACTGTGTGTAGTTGAGCATAATGTAACTGAAATCTTGGACTGGAAAAATGTGAGACCCCAGACTTCATTTTCAGCAAAAATTTGATTCAGAACCTTTAAATGGGACCCTGTCTCCCATTTTTCTCTTAGTAATAAAGTAATTTTTAAGTATAGAAGAAACATTGGTTCTTCAACCCTGTTGATGGCACTTAGCAAGAAATACAGTATTTAAAATACATCTGCTTTTTAAGTTGCCTTTTATTGCCTATCGTCTTGTTAAGCCAGTTATTTGCTAGAATTCTTGATTTCAGTTCCATCTCTACATGTGCTTTGAGCTACACGTTTAATAAAGGCATTTATTTTAGTGTCTGATGATGTTTAGTCTTCAAATAGTCTTGTTTAGATACTGTCTAAATGATTCACCCTAACATAGTGACCAAACAGTCTTCTATGAGGCTGATTTACAAAATTTGAAATCTATAGAAACTTTATTTATATTTTTAAGTGTGTAAACAGGAAGGTTTGAAAGTCCATTTAAGAAAAAGTCCATTTAAGCATTCTACTTAAAAGTGAGTGTATGAGTTTTAATATAAGGCTTCCCAGCATACGGATTTATCTTGATGCAATAATGAAAAATTATTTAGTTAACAATAAATCTAAAATAAGGTATTTTCTGAAGTATTATGGGTAATTTTAATTTTTATAGAGAAAATGCTATGAGGAAGAGATTTCAAACTTTTAATTAAAATTATGAACTACATATTTAATATTTTTTTTTCTAATTAGATCAGTATCATCATTGCAACTTGAAAAATCTGCCCTTTTTCAAATTGTTAGTGTATTAAAATCAACAAAAAACTTGCAAAATAAATACAATGTAAAATGTAAACCATATCAATACCTATATTTCTATCTGAACACCTGACTAGCATTTTAACAATGCCAATGAGCTGAAATGAGTCATGGCCTTGTGTGCCATCAGAAAATTTTAAAATAACTGGCTATTTTTTTCTTGTCTATTTTGAGTTTCCTTCAAATATCTTTTCAGGAAAGTTAGCTCAAGATCTCTGCAAAATTTTTGAATATTCCATAGCAGTTTTTTTTTAATATTGGAAGCAACCTTACCTTTTATTTATTGAAAAGAAAACATCTTTTTAATTCATTCATAGACTCAGATTAATTTCTAGCACAAATATTTGTTTATGCACTTGAATTGAAGTAAAGTTGATTTGCATCTTGATTGAAATTCAAGGTCTCAATAGATTCTGAGTATTTTTTTTAAACAGGCAGGGCCTTGTGATTGCCATCATTCAGAAATAAAATTTCCCACAATTGAAAAAGAAAAGGAGAAAAGAAATGTAGGCAAACTCATTAACCCAAGGAAATAAAAATATCTGTCAAGTAGAAAAATAAGTAAAAACTTACTTAGGGAAGGGATAAGCCATTTTTCAATTTTGCATACTTGAAACAAAAAGATTACTTCTTTTGCAATTTATTCTAACTTTAGCCTTTTATAATTATGCAAACTCTTCCACACTATTGCCACAGCTGCTGTAGCAGAGAAACTTAACTCTCCCCTGTAAAGTATAACATAGGTGGTCTCTAGACATCCAAGTAAAAAGTAGCTTAGTTAATTTAATTTCTGAAGAAAGATAGAACATTTCTCTCTAAAAACAGTTTTATAGGTTCTTAGGGGCTTTATCCTTTCAGTACTCTCCCATAGCCTCTAAGTAGTTGTAAGAAGTCTGTTACACTATTTAACTTCAAGTCTTCTTTATATGAATCATTACTGCAATTATAATTGTGGAACTAATCAGTTTCCTTGATAATTGTTTTTTCAAAGCCTGAAAGAAGAGTGTGAAATTCCCATCATAAGAACATTCTGTAGCTGATTTTTAAAAGTATGTCAAAAGATATTTAGAATCAGTAGAACATTAATGTTCATATTTATGAACATTATTCTTGTTTTGAAATGGCATAATATTATAATCACAATATATTACATACATATAGATATAATGCTGCAAAAATATGAATGCAGTCTATTAAAACATGATTGATTTTGTGTATAAAATGCTTAAGGTTGAGCAGAAATATTCTTTCTGATGTCAGTTAACTCTGATGATGCACTATTTGTGTGAGGCTTTGTATTGACAGCTAGGTGTCTACAGATGAGTTTTGAAAAGGACATAGGCAACAAGACTGAAACTGGGTACACTTTTGAATGAAATCTGCATCATTTGTCCTGTGTTCTCTTAGTAGCTACATTAACCAAGGTTTCCTTTCATATTATTAATGTAATCAATAGAAAAGCCTCCAAGACTCCTGAAGGTTTTCATCTGTATTTGCCAAAATCTGTGGTACTTCAGCTGAACTGAGTGTTTCTGTCTGGCTCTAAATTTACAAATAAATAAATAAATCTGTAGATTCTATGTATACAATCTCATGAATCTTACTTATCCCAAGAGAATTTTACAATCCCCTAAGTATGTTGTAGGTTAACTATATATAACATAATACCCTGCTGAAGTGTGTGCAAACTAATGCAATAAATCAGAGAACTGAAGGGAGATGGAAGCAAGGATATGTTGTGTGTCCTTCAGTGGGTGCTAAGCAGGGACATAAGAATTGTGACAAGAAATAAGACTTTGCCTCTAAATTCTGCAGGAGGAGAGTTTTTTTGTGCTTTCAAAAACCATTGGATATCAAGCAGAAGTAGTAATCCCCAGGGACAGGAAGCCAAAACTCTACTTATGTGAATATGCAACTCCTGTGGGCACTAAATCCAGAGCTTCTGCTTCCTAGGGAAGTGCACAAGTTCCTGGCTGCCAGTCAAATTCCATGATAATACAATATGATGATCTTCCAGTAATAGTCTTAGGTCTGGGAAGGAGCTTGAGGCTGCAAATTGCTCTCTGGCATCAGGGAGGTGCATAAATAAGACAGACATTCCTTTAAATTTTCACATGGTTGGCCTCTGCAGCCTCCAAATGTAGCTCTACTTTGCTTCATAATGTGTGTTCCTAGGCCTGTAACACAATATCCATTCAGTGAGTCACATTTGTGATTAGTTCCTCAGAATTTGTAATCCTTGTAATGAAAGTTTCCTGGTTTTCTGAAGGGTTTATCATTGGAAACTTGCACTGAGGTTGAGAAATGCCCATCAAACCTTCTTAAAACATTTTGCTTTGAATAACTGTATTTCTAAATCTATTCATATATATAAACCATTTCTCTTCATACTTTTTTTGTTATTTTTTGTGGTCATAATTCTGTATCTGTATTTCACATTTCACTTAGGCATACAAATATGTATTTTAGAATCATGTTTGGAGTAAAGAGTGGCTCAGTCTTAAATGTCTTGTTATGTGTTCCAAAATCTCACTAGGGATGTCAGTTAGCAATACTTGCAGGCAGGCACAACTCTAACCTCAGTGTGTTTGCCTCTGAGTGAAGTATTTATCACATTTTTAGTGCTGATTTGTAATGTTTTATAAAATTTTCTTCTGGCTTAACTATACTGTTAAGCTTTCAGTCCTGGGGTATTCTCAAAGGAACTGTGTGCTTTAGCTCTTTATCCATGTTAGCAGAGCATGGACTAACCTCTGCAGCCATAAAAACCCCTGGGAGCAACTAAAGTCCATTAGCTCCCAGAGCTGACTCTACAGCCCATTTGTATGGGCCCTTTCACTCTTTCTCTGCAGTGAGAAGACAGAGATCCTGTCTTTGTACCCCACAGCTGGTACAGAAGTGTCCAAACCTGTTGTCATTCTGAACCATTACAGCTGCAGCCTAAAAACACATGTACAGGTTTAGACTAAATCTCAAAAGAAGATGGAATGGAAGGTGCTAAAAAAGATCCTTTCTGCAAGTGTTAAATATATTTTCAGGAATTACCAGCAGATTTATGAAGGTGCCATTTTCCAAAGGCTCTTATCCAGGCAGTGCTATTACTTTAAAAGGGCAGTAGATATATCAAAAAATGGTTCCAAGACGTGTTTTATCACAGTTTTTTTTTCTTCTTCACTTGAATCTAATAAATTGGTTCAAGGGTGGGAAAATGAAAAAAAAAAATTTGGGATAACAAGAATCTCTTAGATCCATTTTTCTTACTTTGTGATATTGGTTGTTTGAGGATTGTTTTTTTGTTTGTTTGTTTGTTGTTTCCAATACTGCATGAACTGTGAGCGTAATTTTTTATTTCTATGCCTGAAAATGTTTTAATCCCTTGAACATCTCATTTATCTTTTTACCGTGAATGTGTATCACCACACTTTAAATTGTATAGTGGGAGGCAAAAGAGGGACAATAATACATAGTATTTTCTCATCATCACAAGCAGAAAACTTGATAATGTCAAACATGATATTTATCAGTAGTTTTTACAAAAATACAATGGGATCTGCAGTGGTCTTGATGTGAATGAAAAATAAAAGTAGCTCTTATCATTGCTTCAGGTATGTGTGTGTATATTTGGGTTTGCATTTATGTATATACGTTTTGTGATGTATTTTTGATGTATTACTAGAGCTATTACTAGAGCTATTTTGTGATGTATTATTTGAACTATATGGACAGTGTTTTGTTAGAACAGAACAGAACAGAAGCTAGGATAATGTTTTTCATTCAAAAATTCAAGATTAGCAATTACAGCAAAACAGAAACAAGTTTCCTTGATTCTCAAAGTTTGATTTCAGGGCAAGCATTTTCCTTAAATTTTGCTTTTGGTCAAACAATTAGGTAACATTTTCGGCGTAGAAATAAATACTATATCTATGTAGCTGGGATAAGTTTTTGTTCCTGTCACTTCTTGGAACCAAAGAGCATATTCCCTTGCTGCACCCTTTCTCTCACACCCCTTCAGCCCATGGGCTGTGTAGGTGCCCTGGCTCCCTTGTAGTTTCCCTAGCTCTAAAGGGTGTAGCCCCCTTTCTCTGAAGGATTGACTTGCCCCTGGCCATGGTCCACTAGGAGCAGCCAAAAAGCCACCTTCCTC